AGCGTTTTCCAGAATGGCTGCATCCTTCGCAGGCCAGGGCTGCGGGCTGCAAAACCAGCTTGTTCCTCTCCATCAAATGCAGTGGAACCGCATGGGCCCTCAGGAGACAGCCTTCACCTAACCATGAGCCTTGCAATTCTCGAGCCCCTCAGATTCAGACAGAGCCTGGGGCTTAGCAGATGTTATAGATCACTGGCCCAAAGCCCTCATCGCTGGGAAGAAAACAGGCTTGGAGAGCCGAGCTGACTTGTCCCGCCTCACCCAGTTGGGAAGCGGCACAGGTACCAGAACGGGTCTCAAACTCCAGCCACTGTTCTCACATAGCCCATCGCCTCTCTCTCAGGATTATCTGCATCCATGCGTCTGTGTCCCAGGCTGTCCATCTCCCAACTCAAAAAGCCACAGTTCCCATGACAGGAACAAAGGAAGATGTGCCGTGGATATGGAACTGGGAGAGGGAGATGAGTCAATTCCTAATAAAGGTGAAGTAAAAGAAGCCTGAGGCATCGACTTCAGCTCAGTCTTCCTGACACCTGCGCCCCAACCTGCATTCCAGTCTCATCTCCCACTTAGCCTCGACCATCCCCCGCATTCCTCTGCCCAGTGCAGTAAAAACAGCATGCAATTAGCTTCTTCCACCCTGAGGCTGCCCGGGGCCAGAATGTGTGCTCCAGTGGTATTGCACGGAGCTCTGCCTGTATTCTGGGCATGTGCTAAACACTTTACTTTCAGCTTTGTGGAGTGGCAGTATCATAGCCAAGGAGGTTTATCCGAGGCACGATCATTGCTAATTAAACATCTTACTTTCCTAAAGTGATATAAGCCTCATACGATCTGGAGAGGTTAAGTACTGCATATTATCATTAACCCATTTTACGGATGAGAAAACAAAAACCTTATTTCCCTGGCATCCTCCTTAAGGTAGACGCAGCTTCGTTACGTGGTCCTCTTCTCTGGAGGTTGACCTGCCCGTGTCCACGTTCCCCAGTGAGCTCCAGGCTCCTTGAGGAAGGGCCGTGTCTGGTTCTCCTTCGTACCCTGGGTGGCCCCTGGCTCTACATCTTGCACCCTCACCACTGTCTTCTGCCTTCTCTCCACCTGCCACCAGATGGTCGTCCTCAGAATCAGTCGTGATCCTGTCCCTCACCTGTCCGAACTCTTGCTGCTTTTTTCTGTTGCCCAAATTCCCAAACACAGCATTCAAGACCTCCAGATTCCGGCCTCAGCTAGCCTTCCAGTTTCTTCTCCCACTAAAAGGGAGGAGGCTCTTTAAAATCAACTATGACCTTCAAGTCATGTTCCCCCTCAAGTCTTTACTTTTGCTTCTCCTCGTGTCTGGAGTCAATCTACTTTCCGCCTGTCATAATATTTGATGGCTCAGATGTCATGTAGTCTATTCTGATCCGGCCCCCACCTCTCAAGTCATAATCGCGTCCTCCCTTGGGGTCCCTTTGCCTCAGGTTAGTGCTTTAATTTGGCATCTGATTTCGCCTGATTTTTGTTATTTATATACAAATACAGACCTCAGGTTCTTTCTTTGAGGGCAAGAACCTCACTTTATTTATTCGTATGTTCATTTCATACTTAGCATGGTGAATAGTTGGCAGATGATAACACAAACAAGGTGAATGATGTTTAGAGTTTGTTGATCCTTACTATATCATATGTGCCAGCACTGAGCTAGGCGTTTTATAAGCAAAGCCTCATTCAGTCTTTTTGACAACTCCGTGACGTGCTGTTATTAATCTCATTTTACTGATAAAGAAACTGAGGCAATTGTGGAAATTAAGTCACTGGCCTAACATGACACAGCTGTTAAGTAGTGGAGTCAGGATTCAAACCTGACAGCCTGACTTCTAAAACCACACTAAACCTACTCTATTCAGAGGGTGAATAAATGCACGAATGACTAGTGAGATTCACCGTACTATAATTTTTCCTTCTGTGTCTCATAAACATGGTTAAGATCAAACGTCTGCCCCTTGGGCAATCTACAACGTACAGTGCAGAAGAAGCAGATTACTAGTGTTCTGCTTTACCCACACAACCCCTCCTACACTTCTCCAAACCCACACTTCCCTGTATCCCCCCAAAAGGCCACTCAACTCAAAAAAAAAGAAAAAATGGCATGGACTTAGCCTTGCCATGTTCAGTAGCTAAAACTTAATTATACAACATGCACAAGCTGCAGACTATACCTTTGCACTTACATTAAACACACGTGAGAACTTTTTATTTAACCACTGGAGCCTTCACATCTCCAGGCTACTTGCTCCATCTGCAAAATCAGAATTGCTGGACCCCTCCCAATGTGTTCACGCCACTGCCCCCAGCTCTCGCTTTCACATTCCCAAAGATCTTCCAAACTGCCTCGATTCGTTGGTGTTTTTAAGTGTTTTTATTTACTCTACCTGATAGCACGATCCACAAAACTCAGGCATATCCAACCCTTCTGCTCTTGGAGACACACTTCATATGGAGGTCTATGGGAAAGGGATCTAGCCCAGGTGTCCTTCTTCCTTGCTACAGAATGAGTAGAACTACTGCAGCCCTGCCATGACCCACGAGGACAGGGCTGCAGACCCACAAAGATAAACAAGCTGGCCGAGATATGGACGAACGGCAGCCACGGACGGGGCTGGGCGCTGGCCCTGAGGTTCCCATGACTTCATTAACCTCTGAAGCATTGTTCTTCCCCCGTCACCAGGGCGTTTTGATAACATTTACACACTCGGCGCACAGCCGGGATTGTACCTACCATCAGCCTCCGTGCAGCATGGAGATAGTACTCAGAGAGGGCTAGCCTGCAGCAAGGCTGGCTGCAGGGGCCGAAGACGAAACCCAACCTTCCCACCTCCCACAATCACAAACATTTCTGGGCAAGGCCACGTGGGAATTCCTGACTTCTCAAGTTGGAAGGAATCCTGACCATCATGGAGCTCAGGGGCTTGGAAAAACTCCGGGTCTAGACCATCCTGGAGCGTGAGGGCTTCTCCCCTGACTCCTCTTCCTTCATCGCGGAGCCGGTTTGTGTATTTCCAGATGCAGCTCCGTGTGCGTGTGCGTGTGCGTGTGCGTGTGCGTGTGCGTGTGTGTGCAGTTCTGGCCTCCCCACCACACTCAACGCTCCACGAGGCCACAGGCCACATCTCCGGTTCACTCTTAACTCCCCCTGGCCTGGCCACAGTAGCTTCTCAGTAAATCCTGGTCGAATAAATGAATCGAGCTCCAGAGATCATTTGACAAGCAAAAAGTTGTATTTCTAATTTTCGTTCTACCGTCAACTAGCTTACGATATCAGAAAACTCTCCAAGTGTTAGTTTCCTTATCTTCAAAATGCGGGGCAATGCCTGACTTAACTCCTTTTCAAAGATGATTCGAAACTCTGGAGGTAAAAATGGTCGAAGAGCTGTGAAAAATACAGTGCTCTTTGTCATGATTACATTACTTATTACTTATTATTTAATCAGACTTTCCAGGACCTCGCACAGGTTCGTATCAAATACTGGCCATGGCAAATCATTTCAATTCCAGGAATGAACACTTCACGTTATATCACGGAGCGCCTCAAGGCTGGTTTATTAAACCTTCGAACCATTAGGGGACAATATATGGGGCCTCCTCTGTGTTGTTTTTAGTGGAGCCCTGTGACGGTCCCCTAGACCCTGAGATAGTGACAGAGGTAGGAGGGCGTGAGGGTCAAGGCCCAGAGGTTTGTCCCTCTGCCCTGAGGCGGGGCTGCTCCTAGTTGGCTGTGAATGAGGCAGCTCTATGCCTCCCTTCACAGTGAGTACCAGAAGAGTGAGCTGCTCAGCTCCCTTCACCTCTCAGGAAGGACCTAGCAGTCGCTGTGGCCAAGGAGACCGTGAACCTACAGGGTAAAATAGTTCAGACTTTCAGAGAAAGCCGGGGCCCAAGGCTAGGCAGACCATCTCCCTGGGGATCATCCCCCACAAGGAGCATCTCCCTTTCACCTTTGGATGACTGAAGGGGCCTTTCCAACAGCAGCCACCTCCTACAGGATCTGCAGCTGTGGAGTGTTGCATATATATATATATAGGCACAGTCTCCTAGGCATCCCCTGAACCCCAAATCCCAGGTCTCCACACTGAGGACCACTTCCAAACTCAGTCTCCTCAATGTCCGCCATGACTCAGAGTGTTTCTTTACACTTTTGAAACTGGAAATCCACAGAGGCAGTGAGGTTTTACTTGGGATGCACTGAACACATAGGGCTTCCTTGGGCTAAGGAAAGGCAGCCAGCCTAGAACTGCTCAGATTTCTAAGCAGTTCTAAGCTTGGAAAGTCATTGACTTCTTCATGCAGCAGGTGCATCTAATAATCATATAGTTAAGGTTTGCTGGGCACTTAACTTTATACCAGGCCCTGTTTGAAGTGCTTTGCAAGCATTATCTTATTATTTTCACCATGAACCTGTGAGGAAGGTACTATTGTCTTTCTATTTCACAGATAAGGAAACAACCTAAATAACTTTCCTAGAGGCCTACACCTTGGGCCTCAACACACCCCGCCCCACACCCTGACGGTGCACGCTCTCATCTGTGCCGTCATAGCTGTTTGGAAGACATACACGTTTCCAGTGAAAGGTTTTTTCCACCTGAATCCTCCATTCTTCAAGGATCAGCTCAAAAGTGCCGCATCTGTGAAGCCTGAATTCTGAGTTTTTCTCCCCTGTGGCATTTTATTCATATTTCCACTGGAGCTCTTGCCATTCTATGATTAGTGGTGACACCTGAGTTTGTCCCACCGCTACCTCTCGCTTTAGAGGGAGGGTCTCACCTTATATCCATTGCTGGCTCCACAGCTCCTAGAAGAAGCTCCACCAATGCTCACTGATTGAAAAAATGATGAACTCTAAGGCGATGGATTCTGTCACAAGCTCTTCTGGGAACCAGGGTGAGCATCTCGCTTAGTTGGGATCCTGGAGGCTAGAGACTTAATGAAAGGGGTGATCCTGGACTTCTGGAAGTCTACGATCTAATTGAGAAGTTATATGTGCACCCTTGAAATATATAGCCTAGGGCTTTACGAAGTAAGGGCAAAAAAAAGTCTATCTAGATATCGATTTTGGACATAGATCAACTTAAAGCATTTTTTGAAATAGGTAGCAATTCAAAGGATTCAAAAAGTCTAAATGGAATATAATGATTATTCTCCTTCTCACCCAATCTCCCAGGCGCTCTCTCTCCTCCACCCACACAACCAACACCATTCCTTCCTTTCATATTCTGTGTCAGTAAAAAAAAACATGTTTTAGCTATAATATATTAAATATATGTCTACATATATCACATGTATATTAGCTATCCAAATATATTAGTTATAGATATTCTAACTTATATATGTAATATATATTATATATGCATTTTTATGAATTGACTTTGGGATATTCGATAATATAAGTCATCAATTAAATTCCAACGTTTAATTAGTCCGCGATGTGCACTTGCTTTGTTAGACACTGGACCCCAAGATGAATGTAACAGAAAACTGGAAACCTGTCCATAGAGACTTTCCACTTAGGATGGGTTGAGACAGGTCCTTTTTTAGGTAATTCAGCTGCACCCAGGGCTGAGCCATGGCCGGGAGCAGAGAATAGGGAGGTGAGAGAGAGAAGGTAGGTGGATTAAGTTTTAAAGGAGAATTAATTGCTTTCTCTACTTTGCATCCTTGGTAATAAGCATAAAGCGAGTCATTGTAAAGCAGATCATATTTTTTTCCATAAAAATAACGCTGCAGTTGGAGGGTAAATTCTGATGTAAGGCTTTGGCATCCTAAAACAAAAGATATGACTGGCGATGTCATGAGAGAAAAGAACTATAAAACTTTATAATCACTTAAAATAAT